TACATAAATAATCATAGAATTTTCATTTGATATTCATAAAATATTCATAAATATATGCACATAAAATGATGAATGAACTCTTTTATTAATTAAATAATAAATATCCTATTACATCTCATGCTTCTAGGATACTATTCCTAACAGTAGGTAGCAGGGAATGTTATTACATGAGATGGAATTCATTCCTTCTTGAGAAAGAAGTAGATAAATAATTCTCTTGAGGGTTGATTCAGTACTTGAACCAGTAGGAGCTCCGATTCATGAATGTGCTTTATGAATCACTGTCCATTAGAGAATTAATGGTACTCAAGGATAAAGATATAATTAGAGAGGTTAACAGATTTTACCTAACTCTAATAATGAATTATTTATGGAGGATAGATCTATATGTAATGACTATATCAAATGGACACTTCGCAGTTTAGAAGTAATTAATGTCTATAATTTCGAGAGTGCAATTCCAAGTTTATAGTGGAGTAACTATTGGAATTAATAGAATTAATTAATTAATTAAAGTGTTTAATTAATTATTAATTTTATTGGAGCTCGGGATTATAGGTCCATTAGTCATCGCGTCGTCCTAGTAATTCTACCAGACACAGAGGGCAGAATTTTAGAATTACGGAATTTCTAAAATTAAACACTCGAAAATAATTAATTAAGAATTAATTATTATTTAAATAATGTGATTATTTAAATTTAAATTTGAACACATCTAGATTTATCCATTTAAACTTATTTGATAAGTTGTTTAATTTAGAATTCAAATTAATTTAAGTTTGACTTAAATTGGAATTTGAATTTGAGTCAAAATTACACTACAAGAAAAAGGATAATTTTCTTTTCCTTCTCTATCTTATATTGATGCCTATATAGGGATAAAATCCCATATCTTGGCCAGCCATAATGGATAAAGGAAAAGATGAGATTTTGTTTCACAGTCAAATAGGAGATAATTAACAAGGTTTATCTTGGAGATAGAGATTGGATTCCTTCTAGAAGTTTGACTTCTACTCTATAAATAAGAGAATGATAGAAGATTGCGAGAGACATTTTTTGAAAAAAATTTTGCCCTAATTTTAGAGGGTGGCCGAAATTTCTCTATAGAGTGAAAGGAAAAATTTTTCTCTAAAAATTCCACATCGTGCATGCATTGGTGTTTGTGGAAATTCGAGTGTTTATTCTAACCCGTTTTGTCTCAGGTGTGCCCACACACACATCTTTGTAGATTCTAAGAATTTATGTGGAAGACATTGGTTTTCTAAACACAAAGCTTTCGAGCAAGGATTGTTCGAGGTCAAAGAACTCAAGTTATCATCCTAATCGGCCGCCGGGTATTATTCGTAATTGAGTTCTTAATAAATGAATTAATGAGATTAATTTATTCGTGCATAAATTAATATAATCTGTAGAGTATCTCAAAGGTTTTATAAAAATTTTTGTTATACACGATCCGCCTTCCCCACGCTTCTGCATCCGAATTCGATTCGGTAACCAACAGTGGCTTGGTTCGGTGGCTTGACTCAGCTTGGTGCGTTTCTTTCTCTCTTAATATGGCTTGTGCGGCTCGGCTGAAAGGCTTGGCTCAGGGTGGTTGAAAACATGGCTTTCATGGCTTATTTTTGTGTAGCTTTTCACACTTCTTTTTATTTGTAAATAATTAAGCAAAACTAGACAAATTCCAATTAAAAAGATTATGAATAAAAATAATAGAATTGTTTAATTAAAGCTTAAATATTTTAATATTATATAAATCAAAAGCAATATTTAGGGTGCATTTTCTGCACTAATCACACCCCCCAACGAGATTATTGCTAGTCTCTAGCAATCCAAGTGCAAGAGAAATCATGTCACAAAGAAAATCTGAGTCTCAACTGTTTCACAGCCGTGCTAAGGCTGCAAACACCATCAGATTGAACTTTTTCCCTTTCTCTCTAAAGGACAAGGCCAAAAGCTGGCTGTATTCTCTTAAGCCCAAGTCTATTGGTACGTGGGAAGAAATGACGATGACATTCTTTAACAGTATTTCCCACACCATAAGACCAACAATTTGAAATGACAGATCTTGAATTTTCTTCAGAAGGAAAATGAAACTCTCTATCAAGCTTGGGAGCATTTTAAAGATCTGTTAAATCTGTGTCCCCACCATGGATATGAAATTTGGCACCTCGTAAGCTATTTCTACGATGGACTCACAATCCGAGAGCGCCAATTTGTTGAGATGATGTGCAATGGAGATTTTCTCTAAAAGGATCCTGACGAAGCTATCGAGTACTTGAATCAGTTAGCTGAGAAAGTTGACACTTAGACTGGACCGAGTGCTACTGAGAGCACCAGTAGGTCCCGACCAGTTGGAGTTTATCAATTAAGGGAAGAGGACAGCCTCAAGGTCCAAGTTGAAGCTTTGACGAAGCAAATCGGGGCCCTCAAAAGTTAAAGATAGTTAAGGACCCCACATAGTGGCAAGGACAAAGGCACATAAGCCCTGTTTCATTTGTGGTGGAATGGGCCATCTAGCTCAGGATTGCCACACCTTAAGTGAAATGAAGGGGGTATATGAGGAGCAGTGCAATGCATTGGGCACATACACGAAGCCTTATGAACCTTTCTTAGAAACTTACAATCCTAGTTGGAAAAACCACCCAAACTTCAGTTGGAGAGATCCAAACCAACATGCACAATCATCTGGAGGGCAATGGAGATCAAAGCAACAATCTCAACCACCAAGGACATATTTTGCGCCTTACAATAACATGCAGCCGAAAGGAAATTCTCTAGAGGATACCCTAAAAGCTTTTATGGACACACAAAATAAAACGAATCAAAGGGTTCATTCGATGCTCACGCAGCTGGTGGAAGAGAACAAGGAAATAAAAAGTCAGATCACAAAGCTAACAGAAGCTTTAACAGTTTAGGAGCGCGGTAAATTTCCATCACAAGCCCAGTCCAATTTGAGAGGACAACACATGGCTCAAACTTCCAACTCGGAAGGTCAAAATATCAAGGAACTTAATGCCATCTCTACTCGAAGTGCTATGAATTTTGACACGCCATCAACAAGTACAACCACTTCGAGTAATGAAGAATCGGCTCAGGAGAAAGAAGAGCCAACAAAAATTCTGGTAAAGGTGCCTTTCCCCTAAGCTCTCCGACCTGCTGGGAAAGTGACGAAAAATCAAGTCAGATCCTAGAGCACTTGACACAATTGAAGATCAGTCTTCATTTACTACATGTGATCAAGCAAGTGCCGGCCTACGCCAAGGTTATCAAGGATCTGTGCACCATAAAGAGAAACCACCATGTCAAGAAAACTGCATTCTTGACGGAACAAGTAAGTGCGGTGATTGAGCAGAAGACACCGCCGAAGTATAAGGATCCAGGTTGTCCCACATTTCTTGCCAGATCAGGACACATAAATTCGGCCAAGTGTTACTAGACCTAGGATCGAGTGTTAACCTCATGCCTTATTTGGTCTACTGACAATTGGGTCTTGAAGAGATTAAGCCCACATCTATAGTTCTGCAACTAGCCGATAGATCCATTAAGAGACCACAGGGAATAGTGGAAGATGTTCTATTACAAATCGACAAGTTTTATTACGCCGTGGACTTTCTTGTCATGGATACACAATCCGTGGTGAATATGGAGTCATCCATTCCCATCATTCTAGGAAGACCTTTCCTTGCCACAGTAAATGAACTTATCAATTGTAGGAATGGTCTCATGAAGATATCTTTCGGGAATATGACCCTTGAGGTGAATACTTTTCATATTCAAAAGCAATCACATGATGATAACAAGTGTCACCAAACATTTATGATCGACACACTTGTCGAGGAAGAGGTTCTGCTGCAAAGCAACTCTGAAGATCTTGAAAACCTCCTCCAAAATTATGAATCTGAGAGTTCCGGTCCTTGTGAGGTGGCTAACATTTCTACCATTTTCAAAGAATCACAAGACAGAGGAACCAAGCTTGGGCCACCATGTTTTGTGGAGCTCCCAACAGAAGGAGAAAAACTAAAATCATCCACCGAGGAGGCTCCAAAAGTCCAGCTAGCCCAACTACCTGAAGGCTCAAAACATTTGTTCTTGGGAGATGAAGGCACATTCCTAGTCATCATCTCATCTAAGCTCGATGCATTGCAAGAACAACGATTGATCGACATGCTGAAAGAGCACAATTCCAGGATCAAGGTAAAAATGAAAGCAGCTCATGACAAGTAGATCCTGACGAAGAACTTCGAGCCAAATCAATGAGTCCATCCCTATGATTCCCGTTTGCATCTCCATCCCGGTAAGTTGAGGTCGCGGTGGACTGGCCCATTCGTAGTGAAACGCATTTTTCCCAATGGTGCTGTCGAGGTTGAGGACCCGACTGATGGGAGAATCTTCAAAGTAAATGGCAAGCATCTGAAGAATTACTTAGAGCGGGTGAACCAGGTTGAAGAGATCATTCTCGACGACCCCGTTTACTAGCCCTGAGTATTACTCACATCTACTGTACCATATTTTCATTTTTTGTTTTTCTTTACTTTTTTTTTTTTTACTTTTTTTATGCGTGTTTTTGGAGAATCATATCAGGAAGCTCAGGCTGTGCTCATATGTGGAATGCTCATCGTCCAGGTGTCTTCTTTCTTTATATTTCCATAATTTTTGACAATGAGGACACTGTCTGATTTTGGTTGGGGGTGGTGAGCATATTCATGCGTAAGAGTGATTTTTGTCATGTTGATATTTGGGTTAAAATTTTTGTGAAGTAATCTGAGTATGATTTCAAAATCATTGGTTTGAGTCGATTTTCGTTGTCTTAGTTACTAATAAATGACTTCCAGAGTTTCATTTTGCATGTGATAAACCTTGTGGTAAGATGGATGTTAATGCATGTCAGCTGAGAAAATTCTTGAGTTTAAGTACTTGATTTTTGGTGAGTTAAGAGTGTAGAGAAAATGACTTTTGAACCTTCATTGATCTTTTAAGCTGGTAAAATCACTGTTAGAACATCATTACATGGTTAGTGGTATGCTTGGTGCATATGCTTGAGGGATGGATTTTCAATTAGATAGGAATGATCTTATGTAATAGAGCCTAATTTCTTATCTTATCTTTCTTTTACTTTTCAAAAAATAAAAAAAACTGAGCAAGAGCAACATTTCACAGATCCTGTATTTTGGTGTTAATCACATTTGATGCTATATAGTTGTTTGTCAAAAGAACACCTTTCTACATTCACTTCATTATTGCAGGTTGTCTCTTGCCAAAAAAAAAGAAAAAGAAACAAAAAAAAGAGTAATTTATTTTCCTATGCATTTTTTTAGCTCTTTGTTCGTTTCTATAAATTTCTGTTTGGCCTGAATGAAATCCCAAAAGCTAGTTTGTGGTAAGAATGGTGGAATGTTCTAGTAGTTGATTAACTTATCTTTTGGTCAATGTTCATTTGACTGTTTGTTCTAAACTTTACCTTCCTCACACTGAGCGTTGATTGTTCCATTCCCAACTCCATGAGAGAAAACCTTTGCACTCAAATACTTCTGACACCCGTGAGTTCAATAGAGTTGAGACTTCTACTTGGTGACTTTTTCAAAGCTGCATGTGTTATGGTCAGTGGTAAGAAGGTTATGGTTTGGAGCGCACACACACGACTCTGGAGTTATGACTAAAATAATCTTAATAGTATCTTTTGACTTCTCACTAACAATTTGTTTGAAATATGCGACCACCTCTTCAAACTCCCGGATATGTACATATGGATTCTCGTTCTCTAACCCGTGAAAGGTTGGGAGAAGTGCAATCATGCCCGGCTTGAAATCTGTAGGCGGTACATTCGGTGGGAACATGATGCAAGATGGGGTGGCCATTCGTGTTGGGTGCAGGTAATCTTGCAACATCCTCTCCTGAACTTCCTCGTGTTGTGCCATTGCGAATATATTTTGAAATGCGAATTCCAACGACGAGTGTGAAGACGGAGGCGTAGAAGACGAGTCGGATAGAATTTCACTAGGGGTTTCTAGGTCTGGACGTTGAGCGAATCTCCCTAGCTCGTCTCTATACCGATGCATTCACCCAATGCGGATTTTTTCTTAATTTTTAATTTTTTTATTATTTTTTTTAATTTTTATTTTTAATCAAAACAAAAGAAAATAATTATATACTAATGTAAATTGTAACCACCGAGAGTGCTCCCAGGAAAGACTATAGCTCTTGGCTCAATGAATAGTCTCATAGATAGAGCAACGTTCTTAGGAAAGATTGGTGCGGCGAGGCCCACTTAAATACCAACTTTCCTAGACAGAACTCTCTCAGATTGTACTTTCCACGTAACCACACAATTATTCTCAAAATCAATTTTTAAATTTTATTGAATAAATTATGAAATGTAATATAATTAATAGAAACTATTCCTAAAGTCAAAAGCCTAAATCTACCAAATTATGAAATTCCTAGATTAAGAATCTAAATTAGTCAACTAATTACCACCTAATCACAATCCTAAAAATTAATAAAGACTTAAAAGGAAAAATTAAATTAGGCAACAATATAAAAGTCAACAATTAAAATATACAAATGGGGAAACAAAATAATATCTTAGTTTATAAAAAATAAAAGATTACAAGATCAAATCACAATCAATTTTAAAACTAAAAGGAAAAATAAAATTAGCAATGAAAACAAATCTTAAAAGTGTGAGATTTTTTTTAGCAACAAAACTACAGAAATAAAAAAAAAATGAAAAGGTAACAAATGTTAAAAAGGTGAACACAGAAACAAACTAGGGAAAACACAGAGGAAGAACATGAGAAAGGTAAGAAAGAAAGAAATACAGTAAACAAAAGTTTGTTTGTTTGTTTTTTATTTTTTTGAGAAACTAAAGACACGTACACGGTACAGCTAAACAAAAAACAATATATATAGGCAAAGTTTCCAGTCCGGCATTGGGATTTGTACATTTCTCTATAAAATATGTATATTTCTTCTTTAGAATGTATATATTTCTTCTTAAAATATGTACATTTCTTTTTATGGTAAAATATATAATATATACATATTTTAAGAGGAAATATACACGTTCTAAAGAAAAAATATACATGTTTTATAGAGAAATGTACAACTGCCGCTCCAGTCCGTGTACTGGACTGGAGACAATTCCTATATATATAATATAATAATAGTAAATATCAAGTCAAATTAGCAACACTTGCAGCAAAATATAAAATACTAAGGCCTCGTTCACTTCGCAGATTCGAGTTTTCAATTTGAGCTGAGATGCGACATTTTCTGAGAGCTTTTCACTATAGCAGAAAAAGTTAGATGTGACATTTTCTGAGAGCTTTTTACTGTAGAAACCTAAACTGAAAACTCGAATCGATGAAATGAACGAGGCCTAAGTGAATACACACTTAAACTTGCAGCACCTTTTTTTTGTTGAAATAAATGATAGGAAAGAGTAGAAGAAAATCATAATAATAATAATACTAATAATAATAATAATAATAAATGTATACTTACCTCTTTGGCTAAAAAATGTACTGATCAATCTTGCTAATAACACCTCCCCGGCAACAGCGCCAAAATTTGATTAACGCCCAAAAGTGATGTTCACAAGCGGTCAATTGTAGCACAGAAGGGTGGTCGTATCCACATAGAGATAACAAAATAACAAGAAAGATTAGTAAATAAGAGCGTTAGAGAAAAATAAATAACAAGTAAATTAAAGTAAAAGAAGAGTTTTTGAGATTTTTGTTGCAAATAAAATAAAAAGGAGAAAATTTGTATGAAAGAAATTCAGTAGTAAAAAGGGTAAGGGTTGAGAATCTCTAATGTTTCATTCACCAATTCAAGTTTTGATTCACAAAATAAAAGGATCAAATAAATTAAATCTCCATGTTGACTCCAAAAATATTATTATTACAAGTTATCCAAAATCGACAATATATCAATTTGACAATATTGCAGTAAACGACAATTTACCAAATAATTTGAATAACAAAACAACACGTGACAAAATTACATAAGAAAAGCGTGACTGAACTTATATAAACATTGGCACACAATATTTTGAAAAATAAATGAAAGATAGATGAGATTTAATTCATTCAGATATTGAACTTTACAGCACATGGAATCAAAAGCCCGAATTGGGTCACTCAACAAAAGTTCATCTCTAACCTCACAAAGAGAACTCTAGCCTAGCTTGCAAAACATTCTCACAAGTTCTAGAGAGAAAATATGAGAGTGATAGCAAGACGTCAGAAAAATGAATATGAAAAGCTTCTGAAAACCTTAGGCTAACCCTCTTATTTATAGTGTTCAGAGTTTGCCTATCAAATAATGAAACAAATAGTAAAAATAAAAAATTACAAAAGAAAGGGAAACAAAATAAAATTACACATAAATTAGGAGAAATTAAATATATGATTTGAGGAAGAAATCTGGTAATTTGCTCTGATTTTTGGGGAAGAATTTCGGATTCAGAACCAAAGGGGACATGTGTCAAAGCGCGGTTGGAGGAAAGGAATGGAATGCCACGTGTCACGCACAGAGTGGAAGAAGTGTGCTGGCACTGGTCAAAGCAAGGGACAGCTATCGCGCGTGGAGAAAGGATTGGGCTGGCACACTGTCACGTGAGACCCACACTTCTGAGGAGTTGGACGCGCCAGAGATAGCACGGAGAACGGACGCGCGTTCTGAGGTGCCGCATGCTGCTAAAGTGCGAGGTGCGCGATGGCAGGAAGAAACGGGCGTGAATTTTCGCACTGACTGGTGCAGTGGCTTAGCTCGGTGGCTTGACTCAGCTTGGTGCGTTTGAAAGCTAATGTGGTGGCTGATGCCCTTAGCAGGAAGACGATGGGAACTCTGGCGTCATTAGTTTTGGAAGATTGGAAAAGGACTGAAGTGGTGAGTAAGTATGATCTTCAGTTCTATGAAGATTATAACCAGGCTATGGTGTATAATCTGGGCTCTACACCAGATATTGTGCAACAGGTTAAGCAGAATCAATTGCAGGATCCACACCTCCAAGGAATCTGGATTCGAATCCAGAATAGATAGCAACTCGAGGATTGGAGAATCAGAGAGGATGGAGCCTTGTATTTCCGCAACCGCCTTGCTGTTCCTAAGGCAGATGAGGTAAAGAAGATGATTCTGTGAGAGGCTCACAAATCGAAGTTTGCTATACATCCGGGAAGTACAAAGATGCACCAGGACCTGAAAAGACAGTACTGGTGGAG